CCCGTGTCCCCTGCATCGGCAGGCGGACTCTCAACCACTGCGCCACCAGGGAAGTCCCATCAGCCTCTCTTGCTTGCTCTCTGATTCCTGGCAGCATCCCAGGTAGATGAGATCGTGGAAAGTTATGCTGGTGTAAGTGGGGGGCTTGTGAGCAGAGCACCCTCTGAGTGATTATCTTGGGGAAGCCATGGGGTGACTCTGAATCTGCAGGGGAGGGAGAATGTTCTCACTCAGGTTCCCTAAGGCTGAGGGTGGCCACACTGTCAGGGATAGGCCCGCTTGAGCCTGGAAGGTCCAGAGCATCCCAGGTTACCCTGGAGTTTAACCAGGACAGTTTTCCTTCTCTCAGTCTATTTCTGGCTTTGGTTTAAGTCTCAGACGCAGTTTCTGAAACATGTGTGCCTGTACAACAGCAAGAGACCTGGAAGTCACAGAGGAGCGAGTTTACTAGAGTAACGGACTTCCCTGGTGTGCTTGGCCTGAAGGATGTGCTCGTTCATCATTGGCTGATACTGCATCTTCTGTTTGGTGTCAGTCCTGTTTACGACCCTGGACTTGAGAGCTCGGAGGGCTTAGAGGCTGACAATGGAAGGCTGTACGCGCTCTCCCGAATCCTGACCTTCGGGAGGCCGTGGGGTGAGAGCAGAGCGGGAGAACGGGACCTGGGTTTGAACTCCAGCTTTACCGTCACAGGCTGGGGAACTTTGTCCACGTCGCCTCAGCATCTTCTTATGTAGATGTTAAGACGGCCTAGTTTCCTAACTTGTGAAGAGAATAAACGCTCTTACGTTTAAGGCTGTAACATATATAATAGTAAATACTCGACAAGCTCTTTTTAGTTGGCTTTACAGCCTCCTTCCACCCCGTTTTCCATAATTGGCCTTATTGGCAAGCTAGCAGATTATCTAGTACAGTGTTTCAGGCCTTTTTGATTCAGGACTCCGTATTTTTTAGAGGTGCCAGGGAAATGACCCCCTCTCTCCCTTTTCCTTTGCGAGAAGGTCCACAGTGGACGTGACTTAGGCCTTGCTCACTTCACAAGGCTTTCCTGGACGCCTTTGCCTATCACACATGTGCGCCTGGCACCTGGGGGCCTCTTGAGCAATGCGGAGAAATCCTTAGTAGGCGACAGAAGGCTTTGCTTCCATTTCACTCTTAGGCAGCAGGCCCCGTGGCTCTCTGTTTGATGGAAAGACATGCTTCCTCCTGTGTCTGCACAAGGATGTCATGCTGACTGTTTGCATCAAGCCCAGTGGTCTTCTCATTTCTCCCTCAGTTACCTGTGCCACGCAGGTGGTAAGAACATCTGTGCTTGTTGAGTAGAAAGTAAAACCAAAAGTATTTCAAAGGAGGCTTGTATGTGCTGTAATCATCTCACTGTCAGCATCCTTTTCAGGAAGGCATCTTGGAATATGGTGGTTTGTCTTAGCAGGAGCTCTTGTATTGGGAGCAGTGGAGCCGAGTTAAGATCTGCTTACCGGCCAGCCTTTCTATCTGGGAACAAGCCACTTTGATTCTCAGTTTCCTCATCTGCAAAATTCGGAGGTTCAATTAGATAGAACTATAAGAGTCCTGCCAGCATGAAAATTCTGTGCTTAGTCAACCTCAAAAAGTTGCACCTTGAGTTCTGTGAATCATGATTATTTGGATAGTGCAAGACTAATGCTTGTTACTTTTTTTTTTTTAATGAAAAAGATTCTTGTCAAGCAAATTATAGGTGCAGAAGACTGTTTAACCTATTAAGACTCATTAATGGCTTTTAATACTTACTAGCACTGGGGTGCATGAAATCTGCTAATTACAGCAGTGTGTTTTCCTTCATTCAGAGTCACACATTCCTAGCCATTTATTTGGTTGTTTGAAAATAACACCTTATTTCTTTACAATAAAATTCTCCAATTTGCATTCTTACCAGTTCAGCAGAGTTTTTCTGTAAAAATTGTCCAAACATATACAATTTTTGATCATTCTCTTGTTAACAGTCCCTAATATCAAGCAACAGTCCCTAATATCAAGTTCATTGTGATCATCTCAGAAACAGCTAAATGGTCGTTGTGTTTGGAATTTGTTATGTATTTTAGAAATAAATTCATGTCAGACTTGAATTATATCGGTTGGCCAAACAGACTTTGAAACATCAGCCTGATTTTCAGTCGTTTGAGAGGTCTCCCAAGGTCACTGGAAAGGCCCTCCCGGTTCCACCTGCACCAGCAGAGCTGGGTGTCAGCCCAGTAACTATGAGGGCATTGAAACTCTAGCAGATAACAAGCAGAATGGACTTAACGGAAACATAAGAGATGTCAGAATATCCAACTAGTTGATTGGTCTATTTGACAGACCAGCTATTGTCGTAGTCTGAAAACAACTACTCCTATAAATAGTCACTTTTCTGTGAAAGAGGACAAAGAGGTGAAAAGAGAGGATAGGCACACACTGAATTATTGGTAACATTGTACAAACTTTTGGAATAAATAATAATGCCAGCTTATTCTAGTGGCTATATTTTGAGCTTTAGGTATTTGATATTTTTCTTAAAATTCTTATTGCCCACTTGGTTCTAATCCAATGTGAAATCTCTGTATTACGGTTGTTAATTATCACTGATTAATGGTTGATTTTAAAGTTAAGGCATTTCATTTTCTTGTCTATGTTTAAGTTTTAAATAAACACCATCAATCAATAACATTTATTAAAGTTGTGCATTTTAAAATGTAGTAAAATGGATACTCTTCAACGTTAGAGGTGGATCTTTAAATTCATCATTTTTTTTCTGAAGGCAATTTGGCAATACGAACTAAAAGACTAAAAATTGTTTATACTCATTGACCAAGTTTAAAAAAATAAATAAAATAAAATAAAATTGTGCATTTTAAGTTTTCCCCCCCGAAGCTTATGCTTAAGATACGTTAAAAATAACTAAAACATTTAAATTAATTAAAAGCATGTGTTGCTGTTCATCATAGAATCTTAAGCTGAGAGAATGTTCAAGAAATCATTTCACTCTTTCTCTGAGCTTCAGCAGGTTTTTACATAAAAACTACCTTGAAAAAAATGTGGTATCTATTTTCTTTTGAAAGTTCTCTTGG